CTCTTCTATCCAATTTGCTAACTTATCCACCACACCTACAGAGATCTTTTTTTTTTACAAACCTTTTGTGTGGCATCTTGTCAAATTCTTTTTGAAAACCCAGATACACCTTAACCTCATGTACGTAAGCAGAAAAGTAACCCTTTCAAAGTTACTGTTGTGGTGAGTATCTATTTTGTTAGCTTATGTGAAAATGAAATACGTTTAAAAACATTATAATGATGGAAATAACAAATTTATCTATCTTAGCAAGTTTCTGAAAACCATAGTTTCACACTTCCTTTCACTGAGTGGTAATAACATATAACCAGTAGGTGTGCTAATGCATGGGAAGTTATGTAATATTGGACAATTATGTTTGATGAAAAACAAATGCATGGTTTTTTATGGTTAATTTTTAAAACAAAAATTGGGAATTCTCCAGAAAATAAGTCAAATTTTGTGATCAAGAAATCCTGGAGGGTTTTCATAATACATGTGACAGTAAGACTGACAATTGAAGATTTTGTGTCGGTATAGTGTAGAACAGACATGCCAAACTCAATCTGTAGTTCTAATCTATACAAAATTTGATGTAAAGAATAGTTATTTGATAATTGCATTAATTTCTGAAATATTTACAGGCAGCAAATGCTTTTTTGGCTCAAAGGATATCCAGCATCAATGCCATCTCTGCAGTATGCGAGGCAACCGGTGCATGTGTTTCAGAAGTGGCACATGCTGTGGGAACAGACTCGAGAATTGGTCCAAAATTTCTTCAAGCTAGTGTTGGTAAGTATGAAACACAAATTATATTATATTGAGATTTAACTATTTCCAATCCAGTGTCATTTTACTGACCACTTAACTCTTTGACTACAGGGCTAGATGCATTGCACCTACTACATAACCATGAGAGTAGTGATATTATAAAATTAAGGTTTTTTTTATTAAAATTCTGCTCGTGAATTTTTTCTTTCAAAATGCTGACTATCGAACATGGAAAGTAATTTCGATTTTAAGGTTAAAAATACTTTTCTTCATCTGAAAACTGTCAAATTTTATTTTCGTAATCTTTATAACCTCCTAAGTAAATGTGAAACTTTTTTTTAGAAAAACTTTATATTTTATCTGTTATTTTCTCCACCTTAACACTATATATGGGGTTTGGTAAAATTGACCAACCTCATAAAAAATTAAGAAATACATCTAAATTACCATTTTTTCTTTCTGGAATGACTGCAACTTGCAACAGGAAACCACAGTTGTTTATTCTAAATAACTTAAATCTCATAACAGTATACATCTATTTATATTTAATTAATTTTTTTTACCTTTGAACTGTGTCTAACTAATAATCCTGCCACACAGGTTGTAAATCATGAGATGCACGTGCATTTTAACTTTACTGTATCAAACTCCATAAAACTGACCTTTACGTATCAGATACAATAAAACTGACCATTACAAAGTTCAAATTTCTTACTCTTCTTTATTTTAGTACTAACATACCAGTATTTTGTAAAATACAGTAACATTTCAGTTACCATACATTACATATGTATATATATATATATTATTACTATTGACAAATATATTCTTAAATTTCAGTTATCTTTTTTAAGACATAGAAAAATAAAATAAAAATATAAATCAGAAAACAGCGATATCTACTACTTATGAAGTTTCTTTGTGCTTGTTGGGGAAAAGTATTCAGTTGGATTCCATAGTTTCAAATTACTACTGGGGGTTTCTAATGAGGAAAGGAACAACTGCTAAATTAATTACTTCAACAAAATAAAGAAACAAGTATGAAAACCACTAAAATAAGAAGCCATGATGTAGATAGATTATTTGAAGAAATTATCAAGAAAGGTGCCTCTGTCATAAAAGTTTAAAAAATTACAGCCCATATAAAGAATAAAGGGCAGGAGAACTGTCACATTGATCCACATTTTAAATGCCCGACCTTAACTTAATCCAATTGTTCACCACACCTGACCTGTGTTAATGCAGGAGAACTGTCACATTGATCCACATTTTAAATGCCCGACCTTAACTTAATCCAATTGTTCACCACACCTGACCTGTGTTAATGGATATGCACACCCAATTCTATTAACTCACAAACAACTGCATGCACTAGAAATTTTTTAGTGGATAAAATCAGTAGAAAAATACCAGACTCTAAACTTCTTTCTAGTAGAAAACAATTAGTGCATGATATGATCACAGGAAATGTAAACATTATTCTACATTGTTGTGTTATCCTTCACTTTTTCACCATAAGACTCCTTTGTGTTGGCTCATTTATTGTCATCACTGCATATATATCCTGTGTCCTGTATGTAAGCTTTTGTCTTAATTCCTTTGGAGCGTGAATATAGGTGTTCTTCTTGTAAAATGAGAATTAGAAGTTATCCATGGTTAGCATTTATGTGCATACATTTTTTTCTATATGTGTAATATTTCTGCAATGTCAACTGTGTTCTATTGTAGCTATGATTATAGCTTGGCAGCCAGTAACATTGTAGATCTTTAGCTGTTGGCCTGGACTTTTTCTAACAGTTATGACATGAAATGTCTGAAAGATGTTTTACTAAGAAATTATAACTATTAGGCTAGAAAGAGAGAGTCACATATCAATTTCAGCTGTTTAATTTTATAACATCTTGGATTGAGTTGCTGCAGCACAATTGAATCTGGGTGGATTCTGTACTGCTGATATACCAGATTGTTACCTAGTCTCCTGAATCTGGGTAGATTATGTACTCTTGATATACCAGATTGTTACCTAGTCTCCTGAATCTGGGGGGATTATGTACTGCTGATATACCAGATTGTTACCTAGTCTCCTGAATCTGGGCGGATTATGTACTGCTGATATACCAGATTGTTACCTAGTCTCCTGAATCTGGGTGGATTATGTACTGCTGATATACCAGATTGTTACCTAGTCTCCTAAATCTGGGTGGATTCTGTACTGCTGATATACCAGATTGTTACCTAGTCTCCTGAATCTGGGTGGATTATGTACTGCTGATATACCAAATTGTTACATAGTCTCTTGAATCTGGGTGGATCGTGTACTGCTGATATACCAGATTGTTACTTAGTCTCCTAAATCTGGGTGGATTCTGTACTGCTGATATACCAGATTGTTACCTAGTCTCCTGAATTTGGGTGGTTTCTGTACTGCTGATATACCAGATTGTTACCTAGTCTCCTTTCCCAAACTTGTTAGCTTCAACTACCTTATTTTACATCGTCTTCTGTCTCTCAGCCACCTTCCCCATCCATTGCATGTGAACTTACACACTTCAACTAAGGTGTATGGAAATCATTCCATGTATGCCTTCATTTTATATGATAGGGGATGGTCTTACTCAGTTTAATTTGCACTTACAAACTTAAAGCACACACTTGACAGTTTGGATGATTTGCTCCACTGAGTCATCAGGCTGAGAACTTCTAACATTAATGTTTATTGAATGTTGAACTCATAGTATATCAGGACCTCTTACACCATTGTTAGTGACAGTGGCAGACCCTAGGAGTGTGAGAGGGGAATACAATAGCCAGTAATTTTTGTAAACCATAAAAAACTTTTGGATGTAGATTTAAGTGACAAATATCATAAGGCTCATTTAATGCTGCATTATGCAGAAAAATAAAATGTCCATATTAAACATTACACCAGATAATGCTATATGGATGAAACCACCCCCTTGGCCACCATTATTATTTTGCTGCTGTCATGACTCTTTACATCTATAATAATTTCAGATGTTTCCACTACTGATTGGTAATTTATTTAACACAAGTTTTATCAGAAGTTTAGAAGGTAATATTGTTGAGTTTTAAAACACAAGCTACAATAAGTTGACGATTGATTTTTTTTTCACTTTATGGACTGTCGGATATCTTTAACCCTTTCTGTGAGTTGTCCAAGATAACTTGGGAGCTCTCGATGTGTCATGAAAGTGAATTTGGGTAAACCATTTCTTGCTGTATTTTTAATTATTCGCCCAAACTTACTTGCATGGTATAATTTATTATAATCAGCGCTCACTAGATGGGATTGAAAATGCTGTTTGTGGTAACCTTCATCAGAAACACTGCAGAAAAGCATTTTCATTCCTTATTGTAGTTTCAGATATGTAACATTTATTTATCAAGTATGTTTTGTGCAGTAAAATAATAACACATCATAAAATAACTTAAGACTTTTTTTTCTACTTATTTCCAAAAAAGCCTGACATGAAAGGGGCTAATAAAATATTGGCAACTAACTTTGTGGTTTTCGGGACCATTGATACTTATACATACATATATATATTTTATCTGATGTGATTTTAACATAACAACAACAGCACAGATTTAAGAGTGACTGAAATGTGTAGGTTTTGTTGTTGTTTGTTCTGAGCGAATCAAGACATTGAGCTTGTCTTACCTCACAATGTACAAAGAACTAACCTGAACCCAATAATTTAATTGATTATGATAGTTATTATTTTCTTGGCTTTTGGAGCTGGAGAGCCAGGTTTGAATCTGTATGATACCACAAAATATTTCCAACACTTTCAGCTGTGGGTGCATTATAAGAGTGACAGTCAGTCCCTTAGCACGGATGGTAGGATGATACCTTCCCTTTGGTCTGTTGTAGCGTATAGCCTAAGTAGCTATGCTATTTTATTACACATGTATTTTTCTACATAGTTTTAATGTACTATTTCTTAAGATTTGTCAGCTAATCAGGTGTATTTCCAATTCTTACATTAAGGATGTAATGCAACCTTTATTTAACAGATGGAAACCTTTAATTTGCCTTTAGATTACCATCTCATTATTCAATTGTTTTTGTTTCAGGATTTGGAGGGAGTTGTTTTCAGAAAGATGTCCTCAATCTTGTGTATTTGTGTGAGTGTTTGAATCTTCCTGAGGTGGCCAATTACTGGTACCAGGTAATGTGGGCCAAAGTAATTTCAACTCCAGATAATCATTGTCATAAAATAATTAGCAAAATGTTCTGGATACAGAATCACTCTTAAGGTTAAAATATGATGCTACTTTCTTGCAAGGTTAAATATATATACATATTTCATGTATACTGTTTGGTCAACACCCAAAACATATAAAAAATGCTTATTGATTTCATTCTTTAAAGTACTACAGAGATAATTTTGTTGAGCTGTAAGAACAGAAAATGTATATTATAAAGCTTGTCCTAAAGGATTAAGTGTTTTAGTTCTAACCCTTTCACTGCTGTACACAACTTTAGTCGAGTTCCAGGTAGAGTGCCGAACGCTACTTTAGTCAAATTCCACTTAGAGTGCTGAATGCGACTTAAGTTGAATTCCTGATGTAGTTCCGTTTACCGGTCTGTAATTTACTCCGTGCTGCACCTGCACGGTTTCTAGGCAACCATAATGTAATGTAGTGTAGTTTCCTTGATCGTGGGTGTTATTTTTGTAAAATTCTTGACTTTGGACCCAATTTGAGGGCACTCAACAGAACCATGTCAACAGGTAAACATAAACAAGAGGATGTATTGGGTGAAATAATGCGAGATTCAGACTCAGAATTGAGTAAATTTGGCGATTACAATTTGGAAAACAGTGACACAGATACCGTTAATGCTGTAAGTAATGATAATACACATGATGTAGTGCAAAAGGAAAGTGATGATGATGGTGGTAGCCAAGGGGGCATGGCTGATGGTGATCACGAGTGGGTCATTGATGATGATTATGACAGTTTTATCCCAATTTGGTGGCCAGCTTATGCCAAAAAGCCTGGCTCTGTGGTTCCACCTTTGCCTGATGGTAACCACCTTGTAGATTATTTCTACTTATTATTCCCTCAGGAAGCATTTGAGCTTATTTGTGAAATGACTAACACCTACGCCCTGGAATTATTTGATAATCGGGTGGACCTCCCTGAAAATTTTCGCTACAATGATTGGGTTGAGGGTACTACAGATGAAATCAAAGCCTATGTCGGCTTGCAGATAATGATGGGATTGTGTTCCAAGCCAAAGATTAGTGACTACTGGGCAACTGGGGGTATAGCTCAGTCCCCTGGTTATCAAGATGTACTGCCACGCAATCATTACCAGCTGATCAGTTCATTCCTTCATTTTTGTGAAAATTCTCAAAGGGTTCCACTTGGAGAGGAAGGATATGATCCTTTGTATAAAATTGCTCCTCTTATGAACATTGTGAAGCCACTGAATAAGCAGTATTACATTCCACGTCATGAACTTACAATTGATGAATCAATGTGGAAGCTCAAGGGACAGATATACTTTCAGAAGAACATACCAAACATACCCACAGGGTGGGGTATAAAACTGTAGTCATTGTGTGAGGGCAAGATGGGTTATCTGTTAGACTGGGATGTTTATACTGTGGCACCAGAGCAAGGCTTGGATCATTGTGTTGTTATGAAACTGATGGGCAATAATGGATACTTGAACCTCGGCCACCATTTATATGTTGATAACTTCTACTCCAGCCCTGGCCTCTTTGAAGCCCTCAAGGAACAGGGTACTGGTGCCTGTGGAACTGTTAGATATAATAGAAGGGACTTCCAGAAGAAATTAGGCCAGCAAGGTTACAGGTGAAAAAAGGTAAGGATCTTGTTTATTACAGAAAGGGTGATATGATTGTCTGCTCCTGGCATGACACTACAAGGGTCAACTTCCTTTTGACAATCGATAATAATGGCTACACTCAGAAACAAATCTGTTCCAAGTAGTCAGAGACTGGATTTAGGGATGTGAAAGAGCCAAATGTGGCCTGCAATTACAATGTTTCAATTGGAGGAGTTGACATGTTTGACCAGAGATGTACCAGCTACCCATATGAACACAAATGCAAAAAGTGGTACCATGCAACTTATCACTTCATCAGAGAGGCAGCACTAGTCAACTCCTACATACTGTACACAACTGCCAACCCTAATTCAAAAATGGAGCCACATTCATTCAGGGAAAAGGTGGCAACCAAACTCTGTGCTTCTATTCCTCTCAATAAATTTGGAAGGAAAAGGAGGAGGTTGATGGATAACCAAGAGGATAGGGAGGACTGACTATCAGAGCATCATTTTCCAATGGTTTATTCAGATCCTAAATACAAGCCTAACTGTATAGTGTGCAGTGAAAGCCCTTCACATCCAAAGAGGAAGCAAACCAGACATGGATGCATGAATTGTAAGGATGGGAGGAGGCGATGCCTGCCCATGTTTCTTCTGGACTGCTTCATGAAGTACCACACGGTCAAACATTTCAGACATTAGAAGAAAAAAGGTAATAAAACTATATTATCTTTCCTCTAAAATGTTGTGTTTATTGTCTTAATGTTCTTTTCTAACATTTGCAATATATGTGCATTTTAGGGTGATTTATGGATTTTGAAATAACGCATTTCAAAATAGGCATTTTTCACCAGAAATTCCGGCAGTGAAAGGGTTAATGCCAGTAGCCGTTATTGTTGTTATTAAGAGCTTCTTATTAAAATTAAGAAAACAACAAAGATCAAAATTATGTAACTTAATTTGCATTAATGAAGAGAATTTGGTTTAGAAACCTGATGGAAATATGTTATACTTATAATACGTTGGTAAACATAAAATATGTAGTGATTAGAATGTACTGTGTTATCATAAGTACAAGTTACAGCTTTTACTGTAAAAGACAATTTGTTTTTGGAACAGGTACAATGTTTTGATCACTGATACGATCATTCACAAGTACACCTTAATGACATAAGACTAAGATGATATGAAAGTTGAAAGTAAGGCACAAAAAACATAACATAAGCTCAGTTACTGCTGTAGTTTGAATCAGTAGTTTCATATTGAGCTTACTTACTGAGTAAAGTATTATTTTACTACAAGTTACAGCTTTGTAAAATAAAAATTTGTCTATTTGTTTTACATTGATAATAGTGTTACGACAGCAGAAGTCATGTGATGCTGGGAGCATGTGTGCTGGAGTTTCTGGAAGGATCATGAATTTTCCTGGTAACTCTAGTTTGTTCAAGGCACCCACTTTTTTAGTATATAAGCCTGGTGAGAAAAACCAGCGGAATTGCATAGATAGATAGATTGAAGATACAAATAATTGAGTCAAGCGAACAGTAGGCACCATAAGTAAAGTGTGTGAACCACTGTGATTTATAGCATGTGTTATAAAGGTTGAAAAGTTTAAAGTGACTGTGGAAATTCTGTGTATTAAAAAGTTGTATCGAGAAAGAATAAACTAGTTTTAATTAAGAAAGGACTTGTATCGCTGAAGTTCACCGGAAAGAATTTATACCAGAAATTAACAAACGAGTAGATATGCAACAAATTGGTGTCGGAGAGTGGGACGGAAAAGGAAAAAAAAAAAGAAGATGGAAAGGAGAAGTGGCATATTAAACTACAGCTTAGCACATTTGAAGGCAGCAATACAAGAACGGGAAAAGAAACAAGAAGAGAGACAACAGCAGTGGCAAGAAAACCTGCAACAGTGGCAGCTCGAACAGCAAAATAAACAAGAGAAACTAAAGCAGTGGTTGGAGGAGAAAGAAAATAAACAAGAAGAAAGTCTCCAACAGTTGAGAGAAAGCCAGCATACACAAAGGGAAAAGATTAGTAAATTTCAAAGTCAATTAAATACATTAAAGGACGATTTACTGTCTTTTACAAAGGGAGAATATATTGACCATGGACCTAATCAGCCCCAGACAACAGGAAGCACCTTCCTGACCCTGCAGCTAAACCCTAATGCAGACATCTTCACTCTTGCCAGAAGTCATATTCCAGACATGAGTGTCAGCAATAGGGGTGATCTAGTATGAAGGAAGCCACAGGACTTTGATGGGAAGGCACCATGGGAAGCATAAAGAGCACAATTTGAGCTAAGGTTAGGTTTAGGACGAGAGTCCGTGCTAAAGGGGAGAGCCTGCAAGAGCTGACACAGGATTTGGAAAGTATGGCACACAAGGCCTACCCAACTGCACCACCCGATGTCTTCAAGCTGTTGCTGAGGGATCGGTTTGTAGATGCCTTGGACAGTCCACAACTGAAGATACAAGTAAAGCAAGCACACCCCTCTTCCATGCAGGATGCAATGACCAGAGCTCTCGAATTTGAATCCTATGATAAGTCCAGCACAGAGGTACCAATGTTGGTACAGTCATCAGGATTCAAGGACAGTTTTCAGAGAGGTTTGACGAACTTTGCTGGCACTGTAACAAACCTGGGCACAAGAGAGCTCAATGCCGGCAACTTCAACAAAG